ATATACCTTGTAAATTTTATGCACATTTAATTAGAAATTTTCTTTTAACTCCTCAAGCATTCACTAATAAAAAAGTACTTCAAATCACTACTAATCATAGAAAAAAAATCAGAAGCTATAAATCATATCTTTATTCTGGATATGATTTTTACAGGGAAATAAAATTTAAATAACCAAGAATGATACATATAAGTATTAAACAAAATACGCATAATTTATGAATGCAAAGATTTATATGTAGCATGCTTAGCAAGCTTAAGTTCTGATTTTGAGAATGTTTTTTTATAACACAGTTCTTCATTTGCCTGCATATTTATTTTTTCAATCAAAACTGCTTTAAGAGTTTTAAGACCTAAATTTGGTCGAAATTCCGTCTGATTTTTTTTAACAATAGAAAAAATTCTTTTGCAAGCTGCATTTGAATGAGGTATTATTAAGACAGCAAGCATTACAGAAGGCAATACTTTGTATTTAATACACCCATTCATATTTTTTAATTTGGCAATTTCTCCCCATGCTATATCAATACGCAAATCTACAATTTCTTTCAAATCATCTACTTGATACATGGAAAATTCAATTTCTACTTGATTAAGACATTTTTCATCAATAATGGATGGAAAAGTATTCATCAAGTAAAGAACAGATGAAAATGAGACTTCAGTTCTCAAATTGATGTCAGCAACTTCAGCATGTTTTAGAAATGGATCACTCAGTGGAAATTTATCAATTATATATGAACATGCAGTTACAAAAAAGCTCGCACAGAATTGAAAAATGATTTCACTTCACTTTCATTCAACTTGGCATTTTTTAAATATAGTCTTGTTTCCGCACCAATCACTAAATTTTCATTTTCTTTTGTTTACTATACTTCTGAAATGGAATAGACGTTAGAGTAACATCTTCATTTTCTTTAGAAATTACTGATGGTTTTACGAATCTAACAAATAAATTCATTAAAAGTTCAAAAAGTTCTCTTCTCAATTTATGTATATAAGGAGCTTGTTGTTGCAAATTAATATTTACTGTTATAAACAAAGGCAAAGTATTTTTCAAAAATAACAAGTACAATTTGGTGGTCGGTGACTGTAAAATTTTTTTTAATGTTTTGCAATCTCTTTCCTTCATTCTCACTGTTATCTGATTTATCTCCAAAAAAATTTATCACAGCATCCCACTGTTCCAAAATCCTTGTTATAGATTCTAAAAGAGACAACCATCTCGTACTGCAATATTTCAAAATTTTATGAGATTTTGCATTCTGTCCCAAAATTTGTTGAGCAACTTTGAAGCTATGCTTCCGTTTCGAACTTTTCTCCAAGTAAAAATATATATCTATTATCAACATTTCAATTTCTGAGCCAATTAATTTTTCAGTAGCTTTTTTGCAGCTATATGCAAGAGGTGGCACGGACAACCTCGGGTGATTATACTTGGTTGATGCATTTTGATAAATGATGCTACACCTTTAAACTTTCCAATCATATTACTAGCATTATCTGAAGAAAATGATAAGCAATTTTTCCATTCTAAACCTTTGTTTTTAAAGTTTTCATTTATACAATTAAAAATACCTTCTCCTGTATTATTCGTGCATTCTAAAATAGAAATCAATGAAGTAATTATCACTCCCTTTTCTTTGTTATAACCAATGGGTACAGTTTGTTATCACTGTTATCATTACTTCCATCAGTACTTAGAGAAAATGATGTACTGCACACTGATTTTATAATATCAGCAACAGTATTTTCTGCAAGCGTTTTCACAATAGCAGCAGTTTTGGTATGACCGCAGCTAAATTTTTTTGCTATGGCAGAATCCGGAAACATTGCTTTGAAAAGCTCTTTGGAATGATCCAAAACAGAAAGCGGTAGATTATGTTCAATTAAAAAACGAACAAAATAGCATTTGGCTTTTATAGGATCTGTTTCATCATCTTTTATTAAGAAATTTGTTATTTTAGATTTTACGGTGCCAAGTTCTATATGCTTTTGAGAAAACACATGCCGTTTACAGTCATCTTTTCCGCCATGAGCAACTGAGAAGTCTTTGTTGCATACACTGCAGTGTGCGTGATTCACAGAAATTTCGGACGCTTTAATGCATGGAAATTCTGAAGAATATGAATCTTTAAACTTCTGCTTTGATAATTGTGGCTTCTTCGTTCGAGGCAGCATTATGATTAAAAATCTTTCACCTGATTCACAGTTCACAAGACACACGCTAAGCTCTCGCCGTAAACTACACAATGCAGCCGAATGCAGCCTAAACATGCATCAGCGAGGAACCTGGGAGACAGACAATTGGGTGGAACTATTGATAAGTCGTTAACGGTTGGAGTTACTGATCTACGATTGGCTAATTCTTCAAAACTAGGAACGCACTCAACACGTGATATATGATAACACGAGTATTTAGCCAATCATCGGATGAATTAGTTGGTTCCGTTTTGCGTACTGGTTCTCCTGCTCTTGTTTCTGTAAAATCCGTAGTTTTTTCCATACTTTTCGTAGCTCGTAGTTTTTCATGAATTTCCGTAGAAACTACGGAGAATAGATAGTAGTTGGAGTCTATGAAAGAATATTAGAAGAAAAAAATTAGCTATTAAGATGGTAAAAGAAGGGAAAAGCTATTATGAAGATGCAAAAATTTTAGGTAAGAGCTTTCCTACAATTTGATATATGATAAAAAAAGCATACAGTGAACAATTGCAATCCAAAGCTTTGCAAATAAAACTTCCAGAAGATGTCCTTAAAAACTAATGTCAAGCTATAAAAAACTATCTTTGGAAGAAATAAAATCCTGGCATTTCAGCCCCAAGACTGGGAGTTGAGTTAGAACAAGAACCGGGCATTGTAGTTTCTAGCTCAACAACCAGAAATGCATTAAATGAACAAGATTTTCACGAGTGATCGATCTACTTGGAAAACTTTCTGTGTGTCTGCTCTCTGTGTAAAGAAAGGACTATGTTTTGCAAATAAATATCAAAATCAACCTCTAGAGTTCTGTAATATCGTTATACTCAGTGATGAATCTAAATTTCATATTTTGGACCTCATGGAAATTTTAAAATATGACATAATCCAGGAACAAAATTTCAAAAAAAAAAAGTTACAAACCACAGCAAAATTGTGGTAATATACTTGTTTGGGGGGTTGTCTACTTTTGGAGTTGGCAAATTAACATTTATCAAAGAAAAAATGGACAGACAAGGAAGTGATTTTGTATTTCAGCACGATAATGATCCAAAGCCCACTACTTTGAATACCAGACTGTGGTTTTTATATTTCATGCACAGTCAATTAAATACTCCTTCTCAGTCATAAGATATAAATGCTATAGAACATATATGGACCCATTTGCAAGTCAAAATGAAAATTTATCGAATTTCTAATAGGATGTAACTAAGAAAACTTTGCATGAGAAATGTGACAAAAATTACATGAGAACTTCTAAAAAACTTAATTTATTCAATGGTCAGAAGATTAAAAGCTGTTGAGAAACCTACAGGCTCTCTGATCAAATATTATTTAAATTAAACAGCAAGAAATTTTGAGTAATTAATTGTTTTGATTCTAGTATATGAATATTTTTGATGCATCCCGTTAGAACTGAGATACTTACTTCTTTACTATTTCAAGTGGAAATAAAAAAAAACCTTTTTTTTTTTTTTTTTTTTTTTACACATTTTCTTTCATTGCATAATACTGCCAAATCAATGGAACTATCATTAAATACTCATTATATCATTTGCTTTCTAAATAAAAAAGATTTTTCAACTTTTCATACCAATGTATGAATACTTTTGATGCTGAGAGTAAATGGCCTTAAATTTACTTTGTTCATCAGCACATAAATCCAGCCTATTCCCTTACAGACACTAATATGTCTGAACCCAAACCAAACAAAAACCTAAGGATAATTCAGCAGAATAACTCCACTACCAAACTCTCTAGGACACAAACTATCACAAGATCAAGCAGATATGTTTATTTCTCAAAGAAACTTGCTGCTTACATTACAATTTATTTTTTATTTGCTTTGTAATATTTTTTGTCATGTCTTGAATCATATTTTTCATCTTCTAATTTTGTACCATAATTTTGTTATTAAGGATTGAAAATACTCAACAGTTCAGATTCTCTGACATATGCGATGATTTGATGTCATTTTTTGATAGTTTATTTTTTGATTGACGTGTATTTCTGTAACATATGGCAAGACATGTATTTGTCATATGTATTAATAACATGGCATTTTGTATAAAACACATTTAAAGTGATAACTGCCATGAAAGAAACCGGAAGGAAACTTTGTAATGATGAGTCATGATAATGATAAGAAAGTGTGCCTTGATTCCACATTGCTGACGATAAATCTGGCAACCCTAAGTTTTGAAGTGCAAAGAACAGAGTCACGTCTGTTGAATAGCATGCAGTTTGAAGTTTTGAAATAAAGATTAATTTTTGTGTATTATGCCTGATTGGAGTTCATGGTGAATGCCATGCAAATATGATCTGCAATCCTACAATATCATTAGTATTATCATCTACATACATTTTGGTTGAACACTGACATTTGTGTCAAATGGCATCCTATTAACCAGAATGTAAAAAAAAAAAAAAAAAAAAAAAAAAAAAAAATTAACTACAACTTTGGTAATCTGGATCATTCTAGATAGTGAACATTTGGATTTCAGATTTTGTACTGTATTATTGTTAAAATAATTCATTCACTGAAATTTTATTCATGAAGTAATATTTAGCATAACAGTAACTAACTAAAAAGTGGCATTTTTTTTAAATGAAGATAAGCAATATTTCGTATTACTACTAATTTTCTATCAAAGGAAACAAAATTATTGTGCTGCATATACAGACTGTAAATGTTTTCTGCAGAAATGAAATCATTAAATGAAGATATCTAAAGATTATGATTCAGATATAAAATAAATGGATAAGTATACAAAAGAAGAAAGAAAAAAGTCTTTATACAACCTTCGTTTACAATTCATAGATGCAGCTGTACTCCAAGTACGTGCTTCTGGATCAAAGACTTCTACAGTACTCAATCGCTCAGATCCATTGTAACCACCGATAGCATATAATTTGTTATGCATCACAGCAACTCCAACTCTACTTCTCAGCATTGTCATAGCTTCAGACAACTGCCACCTACCCACTTTAGGATCAAATACTTCAACAGTACTCAATGAGTCACCTAAGAGAGCAAAGCAAATGATAAATAATTCTCATTTGACATAGAGTAAAATAAAGATAATTCTGATGAAATGCCAATATTCTTTGAATAAAATAAAGTTATTCAGTATTTTCATTTGAAAAAAAAAAAAAAAAAAAAAAAAAAAAAAAAAAAACAGTTTTAAGAGGTTAATTAAAAGATATTTTGTACACAATGAATACGCTTACTATTCAGTTAACAGTATCAGTATTAAGTTCAAGTCCAGCAGTCACTGAAGTTAACACTACAGTCATAGATAACATAAAGTGTAAAAATTATACAGAGAAATCAAGAAGATGGCATCAAAAGAAAGACATTAATATAGGGTCATTTCATCACATCATTCAAGCTGAGCTGAAGTGCAACAAAATATGTGCAGAGTTAAGTATGCAAGAATTTGACATCTGAAATATAAGAAAGTTCTGTTGATACTCATTAAGAGCTTCTCCATTGGTATGATGCTGACATTGAAACATTTTTGCAAGACATCATCACTGGCGATGAGAGATGGATACACTTATGAGTAGAACTAAGTTATACAAGATGTAATTGTAAGATGGTAAAATGGGTTCAGTTGATAATGCATGAGTGCTTGTGCACCCATCAAAAGGGATACAATTCCTATGGTATCTATGCTCTAACCAAATATTGACATAGTATACCTGATTAGGAATTATGTTGAGTAGTGATATTGTAATTTTTTTCAGCGCAATTAATATTCTGTACACGAAAAATTCCAGTTTTCCACCAAATGAAGTAACACATCATATAATACATATCAATATTACACCATCAATTAGTTTTCATTTTGTAATATATATTCATAAACTAAAATGGTTTTAAAATATCAATGTTTAAAACACAGATGTAATTTTTGCCTCAAAGTATGACCACCCAAAAGAATGTCAGATTTCTACATCAAATTACAGAATTTTTAGCTAAACTTTAATTGCAAAGGTGCACAGAATAATTTTGTCAAAAATTGTCTTTCCATGCTCAATTTGTTATTCCAATGAAGAAACTTTTTAGTACATTTCTCCATCATAATGGAATGTTTACAATTGGCACTATATCTAATCCAGTTTGAAATTTATTTCCATATTCAGATTTTCTATCAATCACTACTGCAAGAGCAATACAAGGTTTTAGCATACGTACAAATGATACAATATATATTTTAATTATACCTGTGTTCTACTTGGAACCCAAGATGGTTAAGTTTTAAACTTTGAAAAACTTTTTTGGGTAAAAATAACACACTGAACAAATATTAATTTAGAAGTCAAACAACAAAAAGCTGCGTTATATTTGCAAATTTTCACAGAACTAGTTTCAATGGTTTTACCGAACCATCATCCAATCAATCGAACAATTTGCAAATACAATGCTGATTTTTGTTGTTTGACTTCTAAACTAACTTTCTAACTACTGTGAAAAATGAAATGAATACATTATTACTGCCATTTCAATTTCCATTTGATAAAAACTATGTTGCTAAATAATTGGTATTTATAATGCAAATATAAACAACATTTAAGCAATAACAAGAGCATGCATATTTTAGATTAGTGATCCAGCTGCTACAGGACTGCATGCAATTACGCTAATTTAGATATAACTTCTCATTTGATTCAGAGACCAATTCAACAATTATAACATAAGTTTGATAATAACCTTCAAATATTACGAAAGACTCGTGAATCTGGTTTGAAACAACAACTGAATTAGAACTGGCTATTCTTGACTTTTGATATATAATAATATGAATTTATCATTAATGACATATTTGTCCTTTCTATTTATATTTTCTTTAGAATGGGAATTTGGATTTAATTTTGTTTAAAATCTATCTGCTTAGAATAATAAGAGAATTAACTTTTCTTAAGGAAAAAATATTGGCATTATAATCTATAACAACTATTACAATAAATAAATAAAAACTCTAAAAATGATTCTTTATTAGTAACTGAATCTTTAGATGAACTTCTTGAATATTTTACAGTTAAAAGAGATATATTATTTGCTGAATGAGCTAGAGAGTATACTCAAAAACAATTAAATGAAGTGAAATTTGAAAAAGAAGTCAAAACTTTTCAAAACTATCAAGATAAAATAATAATCAAGAAGGTTAGGGATTTTAAATAAATAAAACAGCTCTCAAGGAATTGAGATTTTGTTACACTCAGTTCAATTTTTAACAAAATTAATAAAATAATTACTGTTAATGAAGTGATTAAAATCAAGTAACTGGAGAGAGCTTCAAAATCAGTTTGAAATTGTTATTCAAAACAAAATATCATGACTAAAAGCAAATACATCTAATTACTTAAAGTTTCCATTTGTGAATTTTTGCTTACAAATATAAATTGCAATTCACCTGCAGAATTCTTAACTTATAAATTTAGGAGAAAGAACTTGGTAATAAATGCCCACTTGAATAACTACAAGTCTTTCTTTCTTCAAAAGTAAAAGAGATACTAAAATCAGAGAAACTATGAGTTAATGTGAAATTCAAACTAGATGTTTGGAGTATCTGGATGTGAAAAGACACATATATCAGATGGTACTACAATGATAATGGTAATTTAATCTCAAAATACTATTAAAACTAAGTTCATGGGATATTCCTAAGAAAATTGTCAAGTCCTTCTGGGGGGAAACTAATTTGATCTCTAGAAGCATGATTACCTGAAATATGAAATAACAATATGTAGACCTAAATGGACCTTAATTCAGAAAAATTAGCTAGCTATTGGAGCTGTTGAGAATGCAGAATACTAAATCATTCGCAGTCTTTTGCAAAATGGAAAGAAACTCTAAGAAGAAGACATTTAATTCTAGAGAAGAAGAAAAGTAAGGCATGCACAGACTGCATGCTAACTCTCATGTTGAAATGTCCTGTCTGAGTCAAAGCATAAGGAAATATTGGGTTGGCAACTAAGTAATTGCGTATTTCACTCATAGATGGCTTCAGTTGAATTTTTAGGGTTGCAGACGTAGTACAAATGCAAAACACATTTTGTTATTTGATAGTTGGCAATTCAGCTGTCAATCAGTAAAAAAAGTTTTTTGATCGGTTGCATAGTTTTCGTTTGGCGTTCGTTGAAAAATAGAAAATCAAAAGGAACATTTTCGTCATATTTTGCTTTTTTATTTCCGCAAAGGAAAAACGCATCGCAAGCTCATAAAAAGTTATGTGCTGTTTATAGTGACGAAGCCTTAAAAGAACGGCAGTGTCAAAATTGGTTTGCCAAATTTTTTTCTGGTGATTTTTCACTCAAAGATGAAAAAAAACGCTCTGGTCGTCCAGTTGAAGTTGATGACGACCTAATCAAAGCAATAATTCGATTCGGATCGTCACAGTACAACACCTGAGATTGCAGAGAAGCTTCATGTATCACATACATGCATTGAAAATCACTTAAAACAACTTGGCTCTGTTCAAAAACTCGATACATGGGTTCCTCACGAACTGAAAAGAAACGCATTTAACGCAACGCATTAACAGCTGCCATTTGCGTAATGAAAATGATCCCTAAAGAAAGAACTAAAGAAACGTAATGAAAATGATCCATTTTTAAAACGACTGATAACTAGTGATGAAAAATGGAATGTTTACAACAATATCAAGCGGAAAAGATCGTGGAGCAGGCCAGGTGAACCAACTCAAACAACATCAAAAGCTGATATTCATCAAAAGAAGGTTTTGTTATCAGTTTGGTGGGATTACAAAGGAATTGTCTACTTTGAACTCTTACCACCCAACCGAATGATCAATTCTGATGTCTACATTGAACAACTAACGAAATTAAATAATGCAGTTGAAGAAAAGACCCGAATTGACAAATCGAAAAGGTGTTGTATTCCATCATGACAATGCAAGGCCACACACATCTTTGGTCACTCAGCAAAAATTATTGGACCTTGGTTGGGATGTTTTGCCACATCCACCATATAGTCCTGACCTTGCACCATCTGATTACTTTTTGTTTCAATCTTTACAAAACTCCTTGAATGGTAAAAATTTCAATAATGATGATGATGTCAAATCGTACCTGATTCAGTTTTTTGCTAACAAAAACCAGAAGTTTTATGAACATGGGATTGGGATTATGCTACTACCTGAAAGATGGCAAAACAGGTCATTGATCAAAATGGGCAATACACTCACAGAATAAAGTTATTTAGTTCCAATGAAAAAATTGTCTTTGATTTTCTAAAAAAAAAAATCCGCAATTACTTAGTTGCCAACCCAATATTTTATAAATTTGTTTCATGCTGCAATTAATAAAACCTTCATCAAAATTTCATTACAGTTAGATGGGATTTTTTTTTCTAATTTATAACTGAATCATTTAAAGAAGAACTAGATGCAGCCAATCTCATTTTGATATAAAATCGTATTTGATTCAAAGATAGCTGCCAATTTTATATTAAGCTCACAATACAAAATTAATAAGAAACGAAATAAAACAATCTAAGATTAGGATCCCATATACTATGATTAGAATACAGAGCTAGATAGCTTAATAATATAGTATTGTATCAAAGCTGCTTTGCCTAAAAGTAATCCATTCCAAAACAATTTACAAATCTTTGTTGATCGTTTAAATATTAAAGCAGAAACCATAAAAATTTTTGAAGAACTCAAAAATATATTATGGACAAAAATAAAATCCCTGTTTATTAATAAAACAAATTAAACAATACAGATATAATGAGAGAATAAATTCCAATTATGCTGCAATAATGAATCTCACCCTTGTTCATGGCTGTCATAGAATCTTTATATTTTGAACAAGTGATCAAAAAATATGAATAAATATAACTTTCATAACATTGACTACTATATTATGATAAGACATAACTTTTATACCTGATTTTGTGAGACCTCCAACAGCATAGATACATCCAACAATATCTGGACAGCATCGAGGCCTTGTTCGAAAACTCTGCAATAAAGGTCTCCGTTCAGGCATCAGATGATAATCTTTTGCCTCATCTAACAGATCTCTACATTGATGAGATGTTCGAATCAGTTCTTCAGTTGCAACATGATCAGTCAAATACTGTGGAGTTAGCAAAGGCATGCGTACTTGAGTTAATAATTCAGGTAAATAACTTTGCCTGGAAAGATCAAATTTCACCCATGCCATGACAGCTTCAAAAACCTATATTAAATCAGATTTTAACAAGACAATTGAAATAATAGTCACTTTTACAATTATGAAAAGTGTTATGCTATTAGAAGTACAGCAGTAAGACATAATATTTTTACAGCAGTAACACAAAATATATTTGAAATAAAATTACAGTCTATTTAAAATTCACATTTGAACATTACAAAAGCATTAAACAAGAAGGATAGCTATTTGAATCCTATTTGGTGAATTCTGGTTATTATAATTTCTGATAAATGAGCTGGCATTTTGTCTTGACCCAATTATTTCTTTGCTGTCCTGCTTAGTTCCTTCTTCTTTCATAAAAATATCCATACAAACATTTTTATATGTTTACAAACTTTAAAATTCTTTAAAATTTTAAATGTTATCTTTCATAAACATATTCATATAATAAACCTTTTAATATATTTAATAACCTTAATGATAATAATAATGATACTTTAAATGTTCTTAGTAAAATTTTTAAATGTTCTTCTTTCATAAATATACTTATATAAATTTTTAAAAAAATTGTATCAGTTTTGCCTTTTCCAGTTCTTTAGTACCTGTTTGTGACTTGTTACCCAACAATTTGCCTAAAATAACCCAGAAATCTTACTGAAACACACTTCAGCAATTCAATGAAATTTATGCTATTTAACTGTAGAAATCTAGGTAAATGTTAGTTAGACATGAACTCGATTTGAAATTTTGACACTTAATTCAAGACTTGGTTTGAATATAGAAATAAGATTACTTCATCTTATATTTCTCACAAAATTCTAATGAAGGCAGAATTAAGATGATCAAAATATTTAAAAAATCAAATGACCATAGAAAAAACTAAAAAATACTCTGATGTCCATATAAATATGCAATATGCTCCAAGACCTGTCCCAGACATACGAAACCATGAATAACAATGAATGCTATAGAAGAAATCTGATGAGTACACCACATGACTTCCTTATACGGAATATTAAATTATACGCAATTTTTCTTGCATTTTGTTTAAACTTATTGGATTGAATTAAATCTACTTCGCCGACAGCGCATAAACCACAATAGAATAAATGTATTCTTTAAAATTCACTCTATTTGTTTACATAGCGACATTCTGGCGCTAGGTTCACTTAACAGTATTATATTTCGTTCATATTATACCTCAGAAAGCACAAAATTTATATCATTTAAATACTTATCTAATCGTTGAACATATTCTATTCAAATACTATAATAAAGCTAGAACAATGTATAAAAGAAATTAAGCAAACAAAACAAAAAAGAAACAGTTTTTCACAGACAATTGAGTATTTCTCATTCAATTAATTCAGTTCTCACTTCGCGACAACGCAAAAATACATAAAAACTCAAAATGTCTGTATTAAAAATTACTAACTATTAAAAATTAAATTGCTAATTATTAAAAACTAAATTATTAAAAATTAAGTAAATCTTTAACACTTATTTCCTTGAAAAAATTCCAGAAAGGATTAAACATGATTTAATTCACAATGATAAATGAAGGCGTTATCTTTGTTGTTTGCAAAGCTACGTTTCTCTAGATTGGCAACAAATCCACTACTCTGTGCTTTTTCAAATGTAAACAAGCAATGGCTGCCATCAAAAAAATTATTAGGCTTAGCGGCACTTAAACAACTTTTAAATTGTTGATAATTCTAAAAATATTGCAGATTTACTAAAGGCATAAAAACCTTAACCAGAAGATAAGGACAACACAATTCAATCATTTTTAAAGCAAAAAATGTACAATTTACAAACATATAAGAGTAAAGAAACTGAGATCACTGACCCAGGTAACAGAGTGGATATATTTATAAATATATTTATATACGTTTGGCGCAGCCGATTGCAACCAAAATACAAGGTGCACATCTACATGTTATAGTAGTCTTATATACAAAATTTCACCGTTCTGAGGCTACTCGTTTTTGAGTTATGCGAGATACGTACGTACATATGTTCGTACAGACGCCACGAAAAATTCTCTTCAGAATTCATTTTAAAGCAGTTTTAGAATTTTTTTTGGAGGAAAAGTCTTTTATTCTGTCCTTACGTAGAGATATCACGCAAAAACATTGTTAAATTGCATTGGAAGGCGGTCAAAATTGATATTTTCGTTGAAATATGCTGCCTGAAACTTTTCGCGATTATAATGCTTCCTTTTAACTTCGCACTAGAAAGTAAACAGGATTTTCATGTAACAGATATAAATATGATCAAATTTAATTGATTGCTAACATTAAATAAAACATACTGTTTTCTTTACCTCATTACATGTTGTATAACTAATGAAAGTAGTGCATAATATGCTCTACTTTTCAATGTTTCGCTCTCCTGTAACAGATCTAATAAAGTTATGGATTTAAACATTTTTTCCAAACCTGTGAAAGATGGATAAAAAATGAAGAAAATGCGATTTCTGTACAATACAGTGTAATGTATCATTTCAAAGATTTGTGGAAATAAGAATCATTATTAATCTTCCAACAAAAGACTGTAAAAATAACATGGTTAATGCTGCATTAATAAAAATACAAAGAATGTGGTATTGTCGTAACTGGTGATCCACCAAATTTTGTTAGTTAGTTAATTAGTTTGATAACAGATGGTGCCACTTCTTTTATTTTGTTTGTAAAAGCAATGTTTATGCTTATAGGTTCTTTCACATGCAATATTTCCGTGTTTTTAAAACACTGTCTTCGAACCTTTGTTATCAATTTACTCTAAAATAAATTTCATGTTTACATTACAAAGAGTTGAAATAAGAAGCAAAATAAGAAGTAATGAAATAAGAAGCTGTTATCTTAAATGGCAACAGTGTTTAATTTAGCTTTCTTGAATTCATTATCTCTCTTTCTTTAATACTCTGTTTACAACTAATTGTTTGTAAATAGATTTTGAAACAACTAAATATACCAGTACAAAACTGATATACTTAAACCAGCTAATCAGATAAAAAAAAATTTTTCACCCTTTTATTCGCACACTGACAGTTTTCTTATACATACCATAAAACACAGCAAAAGAAATAATTTTTTTTTTGAAAACATAAAAAATTATTACATTAAATAATAATAAATCTGATCATGCAAATTTGAAAGATACTGAATTTTTAAATGCTGTCTCACTGCCTGACGGCACACTCAACTGCATGATGAAATAAATGACTGGAAAAGAGGTGGTGCTATCCGTTATAAAACTAATTACTAAGCAACAAAATTCAGTAGATCCACAGTTATGACAATACAGAAAATTCTATATAGGGCAGGTTCGAAATCTGGACATCTAATAACCAGAATGAACTATTACCCAGACCTCTCTTAAAGCCTTTTTTGGTACTTCCTGGTTGTTTTCATCATTACAAACTGTTTGCCAACTCATAGAAACTTTGTGACTTGGCAAAAACAATATGTTTGGTCATCTTTAGGTAGTGTTTCCTTCAATATTTTAAGTTCTGTATCACAGATATTATATACTCTTCCTAAATAATAACAAAAAGAAGTATTTTATAAGAAATAAAATATTTTACGAGCAAAAGTGCAAATCAATATGGCTGATGTTTACATTTTTACAGTTGTTCAGCAGTACAATTTAGCAAAATGGTGGTTAAATGTAAAATGGTGGTGGTAAGTGTGTAAGGCATGTGTACTCAATCATAGTATATGTGGTACAGTCATGCATGAGGTGGCTACTGTTATGTGTACACTAGAAAATGTCAAAAACTTCACAGTTTTATCAAATGTTGAAATCAGTGACGTAAGTAATCAAAAAGTAAGCTTTATTTTACACAGGGCAAGAACTGACAATATGGTTTAAAAAAAAAAAAAAAATGCAAGCATGCTATAAATCAATCTTTTCCCCCAACTTGCTGAACTTGCATTTGCTAAAAAGCACCCATGATAGTTTTGAATCATCTTGCACGTTGTTTCATCTTTAAATACCTATCTTCTATAAAACCACATTTTGTTTTCAACCCTTAAGTGGTTGTGGAAGGGTAGCAGCATTTTTCTATCTTATAAAGCCCATGTACACCATAAATTAGCCTGAAGATCAATGTTTGCTTGGATTGCATTAGTTAATTCAAATACGACAAACACATGATGACTATCCGCCTAAGAAGAGGGATACCTTCATGCAGCACTTTTTAAAAGGAAAACAGCTCATATTCTCATTGCGTATGGGGTAAACAAAAAAAACAAAAAAAAAAAAAAAAGAAGCCAGACTGGTCATCTGGGTTTGAACCCAGACCGAACTATCTGCATTCACTGGGCCACTGATGAAAAATGTTTCTTTGGGAAGGAATGTTACACATACCATTATCTTTTTGTATGCTTATAACAGAGAAGAAGGAAGAAAGAATTAGATTTTGATTTACTTTTAAGTTCAGCCAGCATTAGGTATTATGCTGTTCCTTAACATTCTGATTTGTTGCAGCTTATTATTTTATTCAATCTTTTCAATCAATCTAGAGATATCAGAAGTCTGTATACTTTGAAATGCAGAAAGCAATCTTTTTAAAATCAATGTAGCAGTCAGATTATCCAAGAATTCTTTTAGTATTTTAATACCAAGTCTGCTGCACACAGTATGCAAGATCATGGTCTGCATGTATTTTTTAAACCGCTTAGCACATTTTGTGATGATGGTGAGTATCAAATTTGATGGTTTATGGACAGTATCAACTAAAATATGAAATTTCCTGATTAACAGAGTATGTGAAGAAATGCTAAATAAAGATAATATAGCTAGTCTATCATTGCAATTATGATGCCACCATCATCAATTAATTAATAGATGATGAAAGTTTAAATAAGCCAAAATGTCAAAAAATATTGTCATTTCAGCTTCAAATAATATTTAAACTGAATGAGATGGTTATTTAAAAACAGTCTACTTTTATGCTGCATACCTCTTGAAAAATAGGAATCAGCTTTTTTATCGCTTTGTTTATCCTAAATCATGAAAATCTACTTCAATTGAATAAAAATAAAACTAAAATGAAAAATTGACTTCGTCAAGAAAAAAGCCAACAATAACTAACAGTACCTGGAATCAAGGAAATACACCAAACAAAAAAAGCATTACGAAAAAAACATGAAATTTTCCAGTTAACATACTATGCCAAGAAATGCTAAATGATTCATGATGCTCCAATCATCAGTCAATGAACAGTGAACTCTGTAGTATGGTATAAAATCCAGAAATTATCATTAGTGATAGAGAAGATAGTGATAAACAAATTGTTGAAAATGAAATGATTTCATGACTTAAAATTAGTACAGAAACAACCTTGTATTTGGTGTACATTTAGACAAAAAAACTTAATTCTGAGGGCAAACAGGTCCCTCTTCATCAGAATTTGCAGGACTGAATCAACTGAGTTTTTTGCCTAAATCTACACCAAATACAAAGTTGGTTCTTCACTAATTTTAAGTTTCACTTATACTTCTCTTCTGATTTGAAATGACTTCAGATGGCTATTTAATTACAGGACTCGAACATTGGAATTTTGTACCTGAACAGGAATTATATATCTATGAAAATAACGAAAAAGGTATTAACAGAACAAATGAAATTGCTGTAACAACTTATGTTGTAAAAAAAATTTTAATAAAATAAATGTTAATATTAAGTTTTTTGGGGGAGGGCTAAATTTAACTTTTCTTAAGATCATAAATGCTTCATATTACAAGTAACCCTTTTATATTTTTAATTTTATAATTTCTATAAAACATCTTATTACATTTAAATTAATGATGTAAATTCCATAATTGCTGAAGTGCCAATGATTCTGTATCTTGGACTTTGTACTGTAGAAGTAGGAGAAGGATAATACAATGAACTATGTGCACAGAACAGAAATTCATACACTCTCTAACCATCAGTAACCTTAATTTCCAGTCAATACATGCAGGCTATAAATCAGAGTTGAAGGTGACATGCCAAGCTAAGGGAAAACCTATTAGCTGAGAATATAGAACAGGTTTTGCGATTCCTATTTTCAACTATTGCATTTTGTTTGGTCTGAAAAAAAAAGGATGTAATTGTTCTTTATCATGACTGTTATATAAAGATGATAGAAGTAGATATGTCTGGAATCACTGTTGTTTAATATTTATCATTTCATGGTCATTTATCCCTTTTGCGTACTTAAGAAGTTAAACATCATCCTCTTATATTCCTGCTGTAAACCACAGGTAAATGAAGCCATGCATATCAAATCAGCATGTATAAAGATATGACTAAATTAGGGGGAAATATCTGAAGTTCATGAAAACATTTTCTTACAAAATTCATGAAAATAAATATTCACAAAACATCATAATAAAGATCTTTTTCATTCTGTGTGTTAACTTTAAAAAAATTCTTGTTTTAACCATGATACTCTTAAGCCCCGTTCAAAAGAGCGGATTCGACCAGTAGCAAAAACCGGTTCTTCCAGAGTGTCCCATTCACACGGCTAACAAGTATTAACTGCTTCTCAGAATTGGAGGTAGAACTTGGTAGAATGTTCCTACCTCTCCCGGAGCAGGGCAAATGGGGAGATTTCCCATACTGCATTGTGAGATTGGGCGGTTCACTTAATTTTAGCAAACAACATGGCTGACATGTAACAGACTGCTCGCTCGACTGTCTGTGAAACAATTACATTAACAAATATCTGGGGAAGTGATATCATTGAAAAAAATTAAATGGAACTGTACAAAATATGGAAATTTGTAAACAAGTGCAGACACTGATGCTAGGTATTCCAAAAATACCATTCAAATTAAAACTAAAGACGTGCATATCGGCTTCAACGCGACCAGGGAACTTGGTACCTTTTGAATGATTTTTTTATTTAAGAATTTTCATCTACATTTTATACTTTTTAAGAATATTATTACATCTTTTTGTAAGACAAAATGATTTTACGCTGGAAAAAAAAAAAAAACTTTTGCCAGTAATTAGTCTAAAGGGACTTTGTCCCTGAAGGACTATTGTTTTCGTTTTGCGTTGAATCACTATAAATATCCATTTCACTTTTCAAACTGTTGCCACAAAATGTTAGAGTTCTGCATTATATTTGAAGAAATTAAAAATGAAAAATCTGCACAAATGTATGTATATTTCTCACATTGTAATAAAACAACGATACATAAAGCCATTGAATTTTGCATGACGTAATCCCACTGGGAATATGGGCATGTGGAAGCCCAAATTTGGAATTTGTTTTATTATCAATTTTATATTTTGTAAAACTTTAACGAGTTTTTTATCTCCAGCGCATGAAAATGTGTATTGGAAATTCTAAAGATAGGCTCATTTTAAAATTATTTTGTGACATTGCTATTGAAGTGAATTTTATGGTTTAAGTGCAAAGAACATGATATTTAATAAATAAAGGTAACACACAAAACATTAAAAAAAGGCCCCTTTGGACGTAATTTAAAATCTGAAACTTCTCAGATTTTTTTAAAATTTTAATTTAAATTTTTAGAAGAAATTTTTAATAATTAAAATGTCTTTCTTCTCCTACAATTTTCAATGTTTCAATGTGCCAAGAATAATTCACTCAGCAAACTTCTTAATATATGGCAACCTCTTTTCTTTTCCCTGTGTGGGAGAGAGAAAAAACTCACATCGTTCCTACTTTTAAATAATTTTAACAAAGTGCCTAAACTACATTAGATGTTATTATCACTTTCAACAAATATGGCAAATTTCAAAATGCACCAATATATAAATTTATGTATATCTTCAGAAATTTTGAATAAAAAGTTCTAATTTTTTGCAGGTATACTTAGAAATACATCTACTTTAAGATGATGACAAAAATTTTTTAGGTCATAATTAAACATTTTTTCCCAAAAATTTATAGAAATTATATTAAAAATTATAAATTTTAAAAATAAGTCATAAAAAATGAAGGAATTTTATTTGGAATGAACCTAAATTTTGAACTGTGAAAGAAGGAATCAAATAAGTGTAATAAAAAAGAGATATTAATAAATACATACCAAATTGAATTAATATTGAGGAGCTAAAATCTTAAGAGCTAATTTTTTAAAAACTACTCATACGATTTTTACAAAACTTTGCAGATTGGCATAATTTGAATTGTAGAATTGAAATACAGAAAACGATTTGCATGCCATTTCAGAAATAAATCTAATACATATCCTAAGTCGTACTTTCAAGGCATGACAAACGCAAGTTGAATTTCGTGAATCGGCCCAGCAGAACGGGAGATATAGAACTGTACTCTTCTCCCTCCTCCCTACAGTGTACCTACCAAGAAAGCTTTCAAAATCGATGCAAATGGTGAATACTGATTATACTTTCAACATGAAAAGTAAAGCTATCCCTGGGATATCCACTTCCTCTAAAAGTAATATTGCTTTCGAGTTTTCTTGTAATGATACCATTTTAATTTTCTTTTATACAACTTGAATTACTAAACAGTTATTTTGTCTTGCAAATGACAAGATATTAAAGTCATACAGCATACCTGCTCTTCATTAGTGATATGCAGTTCATCTCTACTTATTATCTCTTTGACATCTATGAAAGGCAAGTTCATAAATTCTTCAGAGCGAGCAACTTCAATAAAATGCTTTTGAATGAAACGATTAGTTGCTTCAACAAGAGTTGAACAATCAAGTACATCAGCAAAGGAACGAATACCCAAGGCATTGTTAGGATGCAGTCTGAAAGGGAAAATAATATATATATATATATAACAAAAATCATTATATTTGATGATTTCAAAAGTCCATACTTGATTTGAAAATAAAACAAAAGCAGTCATATTTGAAAGAAAACAGATGTTTTAATAAGACATTTTAAAACACTATAATTTTTATAACTATCTCTCAATATTTTATTAGCTTATCATTTCTTTCTTTGCATAAACTGCATGGTTTTTCAGTAAAGATGATTGTGATATATTTTTTAATAATTTCCATGGAACCAAACTTCTTGCATTGATATGATTTATGAAAATCTTAAGCAACAAAATTTTACAAAATCAAAATATGGAGGGTGCTGAAGGATATTTCATTCTAAACCTTCAAGTCTTACAGTTGCACTTGAGCAGCATGCAGTCTGGCATTATTATGATGGATAATGTTATCTTTTTGAATAGACAAAATTAGACTTTATATAAAATTATGCATTGATGAGTGATCGCAGTGTTTATTTATAACAAATGTTTTATCAGGTGACAGAAGTTTGAAGAAAATGATTCCTTCGCAATCCTACTAAACAAACAGCAATACTTTCCTTCCATTTAAGGCATCTTTGCCACAGTTCTTGAACTTGATTATTTCCAACTCCTTTTTCATCACACATTATTGCACAGAATCTGTTTCCATTATGTGTTATGACCTGATCTGAAAACAATTCTTTCTCAAGCTGCTCAAATGAAACAATGACTACAAATATATGGTTCAGCACGTCTTAAACTGTGGAATACAACCCCAAATGGGGTCACGAACTGAATTGCTGGGATTGCAAAAATTTAATTCAGGTTAAAAAAAAAAAAAAAAAAAGCATCAAAAAACATTAGTCACAATTCCTTTATTCTCTTTAATTTAATATATTACATTTACTGTACAGGAGAATTATAAAATCATAATACTCACCAAGTAGAGCTGCATATTATATTTATGCATTGAAAAATACCACTAAGTGCACTATAATATCCTTGTTGTGCATTGATTTTAGCATATAAGTTATTTCAAAATCAAAATACGCCACAAAACACGTTGACACATTCATAACATCCAGTGCCACATATACTTGTCAAGAATAAAGTTCTCTGATGCACTGATAATGCTTTTCCAGTACAATCAGTTACTTCTGTTTCATTGAAACAAGAGTGTACATCATGAGAACAATATGTTATTGTATTTTACAGCTTTACTCTACTGAGGTTGGTATTTGAATAATTATTATGATAGATGTCATTTTATTTACATCTTAGGATAAAAATACTTTTACCCACGGATAAATGGTTAAACTTGAGTAACAAAGGTAATGACACAGATGGTAGCACTACACTGACCTACTGAGCAACTTCCGACCTAAGTTAGCCTAAAGGCAACAAACAGAATATGTTGCTCAGAGGTAAAACCATCTACTATCTACTGGCCACAATCTTAGGTCGGGGCCACGGGCATTAATTGTCAAAGTCAAATTTCAAAGTTTACATTTGTACAATATACAGAGTTATTTGGATATATTGCATACGCTGAAGAAATCTGAAGTTATTATATTAAGATTTTCCAGAATAGTTAAGACAGGAATTGACAGCCATTTGTTTTCTTGTAGATTCATCTGTTTGTTACAAACATGGTAACAATAAATGCAAAACTTTTAAAGTAGAAGATCATAGTTAGATAAATGTCAGTCATATATAATACAAAAACACACGTAAATGAACAATAAAGATCAACACCCCGTTCAAAATCTGCACGCTATTGAAATGAAGTATATAGTCATGAAAGAATCAAGTCTGATCTATAGAGTCCAAGTTTAAGTGTAAATGAACATACTTTATATTCCATAAACCAGTACTAAATGTTATGTCCAAAGCAAAGTATTGTGCAGTTCATGCAAGATTCAAGTCATACAACTCAGAGGTACTGGAATTTGTATTAAATCATAATAATAAAATCCAAAAGTACTGATGGTAGCACTATAAAGTTTCTTCAGGCAGAACCTATAATAATCAGAAAAAGGCATCTAAGATGTGAAAAAAAAATATGATGAGGCATTTCTCCAGTTTGGCTGGGATATGACTGTCTACAGAATAATTTATTTAGCATTGGACTAGCTGATTTGCCATTGTGTGTTTTATGTAATAGTGGACGGCCAATGACAGAGGAATATTTGGATGAGTGTGAAGCACTGACAAATTTTTCTTGTAGATTTCAGCATTATTGAAAAGCAAGCAGTTTAATGGCCTAACGGTCAATGTAACTGGCATTTGACAAATAAATTCTCCAGTTTGGCTTTACTTTCAACAACTGTGATGGTAATGTCTTTGTTAATTTATAGTAATGTTTGAACTAAGGGAGTATGAAACTATCAAAACTAAAAAGGCATCTTGAATCTAAGTATCATTTGCACATCAATAAACAAAAGGAATATTTTGAATGACCACTATAATCTTTAAATAAAGCAAACAAAACAATATTTTGAGATAATTATAACAGTTAGTGAAAAATATTTACTCATACCATATGAAATTTCATATTTGACTGCTAAAAAAACATACACCAATTGAGAACATCTTGTTTTATCCGCTGTTTTTAAAATAGTAGAAATACTTCACAGAAGTAAATATGGAATATAACTAAAAAAATTCCCTAATTAAGCGACATTGTCACCAAGAGAATTTTGGAAAAACCAGTTTAAACAATTAAACAGACTACAATAAAAGAAAGCTCAAAATTTACAATTCATTTGGATGAAAAGATGTTTCACAATTAGTTCAAATTTTATTATATGTCAGATTTATAAAACACTGATGAAGAATTACTATTTTGTTGTCTTTTGACAGAATATACTAGAAAAGACATATATAGTAAAGCTGACAAAACTGTTTAAACTTGAAGGTTTAGAATGGAAAAATTGCACTTAAGTATGTACAGATAGTGCAAAAGTAATGACAAGCAAAAATATTGGTTTTAAACCATTTTTTAAAGTGTAGGTAATGATCATGTAATTTTTACATATTGCTTGATTCGTCAAGAGCCCTTGCAGAAAAAAATAGCAAATTGAAAATTTGAAAGATATTTCAGGATGCTATCAAAATTATAAACTTTATCAAATGTTGTGCCCTTAACAGCCATTTATTTTCAAATCTCTGCAAAGAGATGGACTCCTAATAATATATATATATATCTATATATTACACAAAGAAGTAAGAAGGTTGTCAAAAGGTGAAATTTATTATTGCTATTAAAGGATGAAATTATTAAATTTTTAATCAAACAATAATGTTATCATGCTGGTCTTTTTCAAAATAATTTATGACTATGAAAATTGTGCTAACTGTGAGATTTTTTTTTTTTTTTTTTTTTTTTTTTTTTTTTTTTTTGAGAAACTAAATGATTTCAACCTCTCTCTTCAAAGAAAAATAATATATTTTCTTTATGTGATAAAATTGAAGGATTGAATAACTAGATCAGCATTTGGAAGATTAAGGTGGAAAATTATTCATCTCAAATGTTTTCGGCTATTGACAATTTTATCATTTAAAAATACAGTTGTAAAACTTTTATTGCAAAAACTTCTATAGATCACTTAAAAAACCATAGAAACACAGTTCTGTAAATACTTTATATCAGTAATTGTCAACCTTTTTTACCTAATGCATCCCTTTCACTATTTCTAGAAGATTATTCCCCATCCTTTCCAAAACTCAAAAAATACATATGCACAGTTATTTAGATTTAGATTACTTTTTGTACATCTGAAACTAAAATTAAATACTTGACAATGAAATAAAAGGCTGACCAATTCTCCCCGGAAACTATGAAATTTCCCTCTTGAGGGGAACTACCCTCTGGGTGAGAATCCTTGCTTTATTTTGAATTTTTATTTCAAAAAGTTATCTTGGATTCATAAACTCCTTTTTATTGACATTGATAAGATTAATCACCTGTCATATAGAACCCAAGAGAAATTTGTCGAGTTATTAAGTGACTTAAAACTTGAGTTCCCACAAAAATTCTTGATTAAATTTTAGACTGGAGCTCACAGTGAATTCCCCACAATTTCTGTAATGACATTAAATGTTCTTTTACCATTCAGCACCACATATTTACACATATTACTTTTTCAGCTCATCAAATATCATTCAATGGTGAAAAATGCTGAAGATACTTTTCATCCAGCAATCTCAAATATTGCAACAACATAAAATAAACACATCCATCTCATTAGAATGTGACTTTCTTACATTAAGTTTTGTAAGCATGGAACAGATCTTAAAACTTCTTTTCATAGGCACTGTTTGCTAGAGAAATAAATTGGAAAATATTTATTTTTATATCTTTATTTTATATTTAATATCAGGCATCATGAAAAAAATCTGAATGATAAAAAGATGTCACAAATGAAAAAAGTTTAATTTTTTTCTATCAAACAATGCAACATCTATGTATTAAGTAGAAATAAGTCTAAATTTACTTGGCAGTACCAATTTTTAAAAGAATTACCAATTTTTAGCAATTCAACAATCTCCCTGCTTGAAACCATTGAGTTATTTTCAACTAAGGCATGTATTAGATCATTATCAATACTGGATATGCACTCAGATTGGGGTCTATGATCCAAGTCGAGTACCATTTCAAAATCAGCAAAACTTCTAACAACTTTTCTGATAGCAGATGCACAATTAAAGTACATGTTTTAAATTTTTCTTCTGTTGTGGTCTCAGCATTCCCATTACTTATTTCCCATCTTAAAGGAAAGTTCTCATATGAATAAATTAATATCACTTAACAGAATCTGCAAATAAATTCACTTATTACATTACTATCTGTCCAAGAATATACCATTTGGCCATTAAATGAACATCAGTGCTCTCCTTTTACCTATACTTCCTGTACCTACAATCTGTTCCTATACCTACAACCTGTGAAAACTCTGAAAATTATTTAATTTGATTATATCTGACTTCTACCTTAGAAACAGA